GTGCAGAAGATATAATCAGGCTCGAGGACGATGAACGAAAGGAAGGGGAGAACTACAAGGAATCTCATAAAACACTTGAATCTGTCGTCAGACAATCAGCGGGAAGACTTCCCAAGACAGAGAAACCTTGGGACAACGTACGAATCAAAGCCCCCTTCCAAGAGGAAATCAGAGAGCATATATGGCGTAGACCAGACAAAGTCAAACCATTGAATGAACTAAAGCTACGAGGCCTTACCCATCTCAAAGGAAAGCAGGCTGGAGGTCATCTACATATGCTGTTGCAAAGGTCAACCGATACTCAAAGAGAGCTGATGGAACAAGACTTGAAATCCAATATGCCCCCTATTCATCAAATCCTGCAGGTTAAGGCCGAGGATTATCACGGAGTGAGATTCTATTCTTACAAGCTTCAACGCACTGATGGGAGTGAATTTACTTGCCAAGAAAATGATTTCATCATGCTTAAACCAGACGACATCTATCAAATGTTTATGGCATATCGATACCTTCGAGTCAGACAAAGTAAAACATACAGCGAAGGCCTTGCAGCAATCAAAAGATTCATGCTCAGACAAATCAGAGTGCACTCATCTCACGACCCACAGATGGCTATTGAGTGCAACTTGACAAAAATGAATCTTACAAAGCCAAGACTGTATGGTCCAGAACTCGAAGACTTCCCAGCTTACCACATCTTCTTCACACCGCAAGCAGTCACATATCTCAACCACAAGAATGAAAAACGCCTAATGGTGGTTAATGAAATTGAGAAATATTGTGACGGAACGCTGAAGATAATCAAAGAACAGTTACTAAAGATGAAGGAACAGCTAGAGCAAAATCTTCAGGAGGCATCGTCATACATTCAAAAGGAACACTCTACAGTGGAGACCATTCTAAAAGTCATCGACGATCGCCTAGACAAGAGAAACATGCTAAGGCAATGCGAGCATGCACTGAATATGAGGAAGCACTGTTTCAAATCACAGAAGCAATAACAAAGTGGCACTTGATCACAAAGGGGGAGATTGTTGAAGATAATTTAATTGTGAATCAAGTTTGTCATCTATCTTGTAATAGATTAGCTTTATTATTATTCCTTGTATTAAATATGTGCAATTATTAGATAGAATATGGGCCAAGTGTTAGGCCCATACTAAAGGCTAAAAGCCTTATTCGCCTACCTGAATCTCGCCTATAAAAAGGGAGCCGAGGATTCAGGATTAGGTTAACTTTCGTACTTAGTCACAAGCGCAAATACTTTTGTGTACGAGTTCACGGTATATCAAAGAGGGTTTTACATCGATTCATCTGTGTTCATCCTTACGGTTAATCTTCTTTGTTATACTGCTATTCATTGCTGTTACAGAAACAGGGACTATCATATACGTAACAACTTAATCATCATATAATTAAGTTGGTAATATTCATTTGTGCTTCTCTTACACTTTAAGCAAATATGCATTTTATATAATTCCTCATATAATATTTTATGCATAAACAATTAGTTCCTTTCATAAAAACCTAACCATGTTGGCTAATCACATGTTTAAATATCTTTTAAACATCATTATGAACACAAATAGCATTTATTTAGGTCATCTCATAATTAACCCAAAAGTTATAAGATATTAAGCCGTCCACTCACCTCAAATGAGCTTTTAGAAGTTCTACTCTTCTGAGTTGAACTCCGGCGAAACTCCGGCGAAATCCGGCGAAACTCCGGCGAACTCTAGAAACCTTTTAGTCAAGTTCCTAACAAGGTTTTATCATGTTCCAAATGGGCTTTGGACCAATTCTTATTGAGCTAGTGCTGCAACAATGGAGGTGGTTTTGAGAGCTTCCCCTTTCCTTTCCTTGATGCTTTGGCCGAGCTTAATGATAGGGGTGAGAGAGGGTACACACTTTTGTCTCAAATGACAAATAAGTGTGGGATGGGAGCCCACCTTTGTCCTTAGATGCTTCTCAACTCAAACCCAACCAACCCCCCTTCTCTTCTTTCATCCCAGTCGTCCAAGACATGGTCTTGAGTGCATAATTTCGTGGGTTGGCCCCCACACATGTGGGAGGTCATTCCTTTAAGTCCTAAACTGTACAATCGGTCCCGAAAGTTGTATTTCTCGGACTGTTTTAATTACATTTTATTTTATCGAGGCGAATAAAATGTATCACACGTTCCCAACTCATATGGGCCCTTAGAATGAATATACATTCCTCCTTTTTAATTTAGGAGTCTCTGAAATCCATTTCGAACTATTATCCTATAAATTACCAATACCGGCAATTTGGGCCTTGTTTGACCAACCGGTCAACCCTATGCCCTTTTCATGGCCAAATAAAACATCCACCACCATATACATGTTATCTAGGCCAAGATGAGAATCATACGTGGTCTCGGAAATATAGGGTGGCCCACGTTCCCGATGTGGGCCCCACATGCAATTTACTATTCACGCAAAAGTAATAACAAAATTTACAACCTCGTAAATCCATAACCATTTCGTAAGGTTCAATACATGATTTACATAAAAGTAAATATAATTGGGGACAATGTTACACTTGTTGAATCCACTGTTGGGAATTAAAGAAATAGAGTGTTAATTCACATACCTACTAACTGTAGGTTTGAAATAACTTAATACATCTAGAGAATAAGAATATATTAAGCTTTTTGCTTCAAGAAAACTCTCGCTTCAAGAGACTGAACTCGTTCTCCTCCTATATATCACCATAAATAGTTGAGTTATCTGATACTACGTATTTTAACTTCAGTCTCCCAAATATTTATGCTAAGTTAGATAAGGAATCTTTGCTGCACTCGACTCTGAAATAAATGTCAACACTTGTGTATTGTGCAATTAGAGCTTTGACATGGGAATGAATGAATGTGAAAACCTTCTTGCATCCACATTGCTTTTATAGCTTCATTATTCCCACCACCCATGTCAACCAATAAGGTTTAAGTATTTGACTATTCCCACCACCCATTTCAACCAATAAGGTTTAAGTATTTGACTATTCCCACCACTCATTTCAACCAATAGAAAAATTAGTATTCTAATCAAAATAAAGTATCCAATAAAATTTAAAATAAAACTTGATGTTGACATTTCTTGGGGGAACACTATTCCTCAATCTTCTTTTGCTTTTATATTAGAATATTTGAATAGATACTCAATTGTACGGTGAGCACCGTACAACCAGTTGTATGGTGTACGCTCTCATCCACCCCCCCTCATATACCATGGTTGCATAAAACTTGGGGGTAAGAACATCAACTTTATTCTTTTCACGCAAGGTTGCAATTGGTCTTACCAAATGAATATTCACTTATATTTTAAAGTTTGATACACTTTTTTTGGATGTATTTAAAAGTTCGTTATACTTTCCTTTTTTGATAAGTTTTTTCTTTAATAATACTCGATTACCCATACTCTTGTATTTTTATGTTCTCTTTCATATTTTCACCATCTCTCCTAGTTTTTATTCACTACATTACCCTTATTATTTTATCCTTAAACAATATGCGGCTTACATTTTGTAGTGAACTTTTGAAAATGAGAGAGTATTTTTTTTGAAAGGAAAACGGAGAGTATTTTTTTTTGAAGAATGTGGCTTATATTGATATAACAGAATTCGGGTAAGGAACATAAAGATAAAAAGTCCACTAACGACTGTCAGCCCCTGAATCAGACTTAGAGTCAATTACCTTCCAAAAAGCAACATGACTTGTTGATTCTATAATGAACATAACTGTGCCAAAGACGGTAAATATAGACCTCTTATCATCAAATCCAAACTCAATAGTCTGACACAACGAAAATAAAAACAATAACAACAGAATGACCAAAGCAATTTTTTTTTTCTTTTGGATTTTCACTGCTTCCCCAAAATCACGTGAAGTTCCAGCTATCTCGCCTTACCATAATGCTTTCTCAGATCCCAGGTCGATGACAAGGGGCGAATCAGAGACGATTTTACATATAATTGTACCCGCCCCGTTTGGTAATTCCCCGTCCATTACCCAACGAGTAATTTTTTATCCAAACCATAACCTCGCCAACGGGTAATGGGTATAGCCACGGGTAATCGCTTTATTAAATGAGTCATTGATATTTTAATATAAAAACAATATTTAAAAAGAAAAATTGATTGTAATAATCCCAACTATTGGCGGTCCACTAATAATAATTCCAACTATCGATTATTTCAGAATAATCCCAACTTTAGGGACCTTCCCCCAATAATATATGGTCCGACGTGACCGACTATAAATAAATTGCTATAGTTTCTAAGGAGATATAACACGTAATCTCCATAAATAATTCCAAATTTTAATTTTTACGCTTAATTTCTATTGAAAATTCACTTGTTTGAGCAGGTAATATGCGGTCATGGACCATTATAGGAGGACGGTCTATATAGTTGGGATTATACAAAAATAATCAATAGTTGAGATTATTGTTAGCGGACCGACAATAGTTGTGATTATTATTTTCAATTTTTCCTATTTTAAAAGGCGAAAGATGGCATCACTAGACGCTGCTAGACTCAGTCGCCACTTTAAAGTTTCGTATATCTACAAGACAAGAAAGAAAATAACTTAAATTAACTTGAACCTAACAATATTTAATTTGAAAAAAATTAATCACGAAATTTTTTGATAATAATCAAGCATTACTATTAAGATCTATTAAGAACTTTCATTCATACACTATAGTTAGTACATCCATCATAGTATCATCCATACGTACACAATGAAAATAGAAAAATCTATCTTTTTTTAATTGTGGAACAAATAATAGATATGAATGTAATAAAAATTTAACTAAAAAAACGGGGCAGATACGAGGTGGATAATGGGACAGATATGTATAAATCCGTAACTGTCCCGTTAATAGTAAAACAATACGGGTATTCCCCGTTCCGTACCCGTTACCCGATTAATGCGATTTTTCCCATTTGACAGGAATACTGTTTTTCCCGTTATGACTGGGGTAATTTGGTGCGGATATTCATCTGCCATCCCAAATGCCCAATAGCCTACGGTAGCTGGGCCTGCAAGAGTGCAAGCGACAGAGGGACGCCGCCTCACGCCCGGACGCCGCCTCACGCCCGGACGCCGCCACCGCGCCACGCCTCCACTCCTCTACTACTCCAGGCCTCCGCTCCAGCCTCACAGGGGCTCTCTCAGCCGCTCACCTCGCTGAAGACCTGAAGTCCTGGCCGCTGGGCTGCTGCCTGCCTGCTCATGCTGACTGTGCTTACTAGTTACTGATGAACCAGGTAAAGTTTCTGACTTTCTATTTATTAGGCCTGAGTAACTTATGTATTGCTATTTTCTTAATTAACGATGAGAATATGTGTTAGCTTCAGCTGAGTTTTGTAATCACTCCACTATGCGTAGAGAAAAATAATACAATAGTAATTAGACAAACATTACACATTTTACATGTAGTGTTTAATAGCTAATGTACCATCAAAATAGAATGAATTCTTCCCGTCACCAAGAGTCTTGGCTGTCTTGTGATAAAAGCCATACTCCAACACAATGCTCAAAGTGGTAGAGATAGCTATAAACTTCAACCAAACTCCATCAATGTTGGACTATGTTGCACGGAAAAGCGAAAATCATTAAGAAACGGGAAACAGAAAACGCCAACTTTTGCTCAAAAAAATTTGTTTAGAGAGCTTCCAAAGCCGAAACGGAAACATACTCTTTCCCGAGAGTTTCCGTGCTATATAGATGTTGGATATCAATCACACAACTTTAGAACATTGCATCTGCATGTTTGAGTTAAAGATGTGCTTATCAAACCAATGGCAATGTGAAAAACTCTTAGAAGAGTAGACAGCTGACTATCATAAATCTTGTAGTAATCTAACGGCTGGCAAGAGTATGAGTTTCATAAAATGCAAAGCATGTGAAGTCCCTGAACAAATAATGGAGGGGTAATTAAAGTCACAGATAACCATCCAATATAAAGTGTTGGTGGGATAGTTACGAGATTAATCAAACAAAGATGTCTGCAAAAAAATTATTTCACTTCTTGTCATCACAGTTCTCAAATCTAAAACAATGATAATTTCAAGTAGAAGTAAACAGAAAGGAAATGTGGTTCATTTCTTACAAAGTAAAAGGCCAAAGCTTCAAACAAAAGCAACAAATAGCAAGAATGCTGATCACGAAAATATTTATTTTCCTAAAACCACTTCCCTCCCGTATTTTTACTATTGGTACTATAGACCATCTCGTTCAATCCAAGCTGAAGGGAAAATGACGTTACAGGCTGAATATAAACATTTATAACTCCTAGAAACTCTGCTTTTATCTGCTGGAACAAATTTCCACAAATGTGGCCCACAACGGATCATAGTAGAAAGAATGGGGGCAGAAAGGGTGGAATCAGACCGAGATGCCATGGTTACTTATTTCTGTAACCTCCTTTGTAAGAGAATTCCTTTCTTTCATTGCCTCTGAAGCAAGTATGGCAACCCGTGATCTAACCAAATAAGCTTCTCTGTGTGGAAGCTCTTTAAAAACACATTCCAAACCTGCAGCTTGTCTTTTAATCTTATAAACAGAGCGAATCACACTTCCAATTTGCTTCTCAGCTTGTCTCAGTTTTGTCTTTCCCCGTATCAGCTCCTGCTCTACTTGCACTGTGTTCCTCTCCAAAATTTTACTCTCCCCGTTCAAAGCATCAATGGATTTCGTCAGCTCCTTGACTTGTACAGCAGCATTCAAAAGCATGGCCTCTTCGGTAGATAATAGGCGCCTAAGTAAATGTGTTTTATGATACACAAAATAAGCAAGAAAAAAAGTTGCAGTATGAATTGAAATAAAAATGCATTTTTTTCACTCTTCGTGATCTTAGTATTCTGAAGTCATAGTCCAAAAAGAAAGAAAAAAAAATTGCTTGTATATTCCCAATGTTCAACATTTTACATGCATAATCTAAAACTGCATTTTACTAAGGGAAGGTGCTCCACTTTTTTAATTAAGCCTGAATATAAAGTAAAGTTTGTAGTCTGTACAGGTATATATCTTTATTTTCATCCCTTAAACTAAACTTTTTGTTCGCATCTTTATTAGAGAATTAACCCCAAGATGTCTAGGAAGCTAAAAAGCTTGCAGTATGTACTACACTAAAACTGTATCTATTCACTAGTATTATTAGTGTTCTCAAATCATAGCCTAAAAAGGCAGAAAAATTGCACCTGTTTTTAAACATCTAGACTAACATACATAAGCATTCCAATTTCATAATAATTAAAGAGGTTTAGGTAACCTCATATATTGCCACTAAACCATCCCAGAGAGCTTTTTTTTTACACAAGTGCATAGTTTGCAGTAGACCAGTTCAATTGTCCAATTCCAATTTGTTCAATTTGCGACAAATAATATATTCTTTCTATTTTGTGAATTTGCACCCTTTTAGGCAACCTTTAATCTTTTAGTTATTTTCTCTTCATTGTTATTTTCTTGAATTTTCCATCATTTGCAATGGAGCCAAAGATTCATTATTTTTTGGCTTGAGATTATGATGGAATAAAGTAAAATGACTCACTAAACTGGTTGCGCTTCTTTGTTATGAAGCAGTAGTCAGTCCATGCAATTGTGGACGCGATTTTCACTATGGGTCATCCGGAAACAGTCTCTCTGTGCTTTAGTATAGGGGTAAGACTGCGTACATCCGACCCCCCTTACCCCACCGTAGGTGGGAGCCTTTGCGGCACTGGGGTAAATGAAAATGATGATGATTGTTATTTTCTTGAAGTATGGTGTAATGACTCTGTGACTTGGTTATAATTTTCTTCAAGTATGAAAGTACATAACTAATGTACCAGCTTGGATACAAGCCTGCTGCTTTCTTTTTTTTCCGACAAATTTGGCAAAAAATAGGCTTATCACTACCCTGTATTTCATTCATGCCCGACTAAGGAGCAAACGTAAAGCTTTTTTTTATGGGTATGCTAATTATCTTAGACTTCTTTCTGAATCTGTACATGCATCTAATTTTCTTAATCATTTAGAATACACATCATGTCTTTGTTTGGTATCAAAGGCTATTAACTTCAGTATTCAGAAAGGTATATCTAACATTTTTTTGAAATAAAAGAAATCCTTCCTTTTCCTATGATGGAAAAGACCATCGTTGGCACTACCATATGGTTAAAACCAGAATATTAACCAAGCAAAAATTCATATAAATCCTTCGGAATAGGAAAAAGACTATGGCAAAGCTATTGAAAATGAAATGTAGTAGGCTACCTTTTAAGTACTGTAAGAATACTAATGTTTCTTCTATGAAATTGTGATTTTTCCTCCCAGACTTTTATTTTAAGAAACATTCAGTTTGTTAAATTTGTTAATGAACTTAAGAATACTTTAAGAATACAATTCTGCTTGATCTAGGGGTTACTTTCTGAATACTTTGAGAATAGGTTGTGTGTTCTCAAGAAGACACACACATAATTTAAGAATACTACTCAGATTCAGTAAAACTATACAGTTGATTTGGACATTCTGAAAATTTGTTAATGAATTTGGGAGAACTTTAAAAATACTATTCTGCTTGATCTAGGGGTTAATTTCTGAATACTTTGAAAATAGGTTGTGTTCTCAAAGAAGACATACATAATTTAAGAATACTACTCAGATTCAGTCAAAGTATACATGTGATTTGGACAATTTGTTTGCTTTGGTTGCAGAATGGTCAGAAAACATTTTTGTTTAGTTCTGGCTAATTTGCAAAGAATCCTAATTTTCTATGAAGAATCAAGAATGTGTGCAAATCTGAAAAGGAAGAAGGGTTATATACGTCTCATATCATTCCACAACCTACAAGCTTCTTGGACACCCAAACAGAATGAACAAAAACATAGCTTCAACCATGGTTCTGTTTTGTATTGGATTAACAATTAACAATATAATACCAAACAGTGAAATCACAGTATTAAACAAACGCATGTGTGCATAGGGGTGAAAGAACATCAACGAGTAAAAGAAATCTGGAAATCATCAGTTTGAATGGGAAAATAATGAAAGTAGTTATCGTCACGAGAGTAATCCAACCCAACTGAAAAATCATATAAAATTTTAGTGTTCTTTCATTTAAAACAACTTGGATTGAAATATGTAACCCAGCATATTGTATAAAGATTTGAAACAAAAGGTGATTTAAGATTATTGAAATAAAATTATGTACTTCGCTAGATAACTGCTCAAAGCAAGAACATAACTCTTAATTTTCTCATCCTTACTGGTATCTTCTTTTGAAAAAGTTGTCTATTCGGTACAGCACTGTGCATACATCTCAATGTATGGAGTACATACATGGGATTATGAGAGTACTATGGAAACATCAAATCAATATATAAATGTTGACTTGCATTAATACTTTTTCTAGAGCTAGTATAAAAATCCATACGTGTATGCAAATTACATTAGAATGACATAGTTTTTATGTTTTATCCACGAGCTGATATCTATCAAGACAATGTGAATCTTGATGAAGTTCAACCCGAATCTATCAAATGGAGAGTTTGTGTAAATGTTGGGGTGTCTATTTTGCTAATAAGAAACATTGACTTATTATCTTGGTTTACATAATGAGACTTGTGTAATTATTACTCAGATGGATAAATATATTTTGGAGGCAAAAGTTATACTCGGCAAAAATATTGGCCATATTTTTTCAACCCAAGGTTATCTATGATCACATCAAACAAAAAGCTTCCTATCAAATTTCAACACATGTAATTTCCAACACGTTTTATTTTTTATGACGATAAATAAAAGTAAAAGGCAAACTTTAACTCGAATGGACATATATCTGCCAAAAAATATTTTTACATATGATCAATTATCGTACGATGTCATGTCTAGGGTTACCTCAATGACTATTTGAAGATTATTATATGTCACGACAAAAGTAAGGTGTCACCATCACTAAAAGTGTGGTTTAGAAAGATGTTTCTCAAAACTTTGATAAATATAACGCAGTACTTGCGAAAAATAAGGGGAGTTTCTGGCTCGCGTGTAGAAGAAGGAGGCTTTGAGAGCCGTGTTGGAGGAGGAGTTTGAGAGAGCAGGAACTTCAGAAGGAGGAAATGCTGGAGCCGATGAAGGGATATGCAATTCGTAAGGAATATACGAAAATACCCTAAAAGTAGGCGGAAGCTCACTTAATTGTATTAATTAGATAAATATTAGGTAATTAAATTGATTATATATAACACGCTCAAAGAATGTTTTTAAATAGGTCAAAGAATGCCTCTTTTTTAAGTGAAATGTATTTTAGTAATAAATATTTTTCTTTTAAGTTTTAACTATTATATTCATTAGTAACTTGTATTTTAACACAATTTATCAGCAATTTATGTTTATTATCATCTTTATTTATGTTCTATATTGGAAATGGAGGCCTCATTTTCAATGCATTAGAAATTAGTTTAATAAGATTAAATAATAATAAAATATTTTAAAATAAAAAATACTCCCTCCGTTACTTAAAACTTTGCCATCTTTCCTTTTTGGGACGTCCCAAAAAACTTTCCCACTTTCCCTTTTAATCAATTATTTGTGGTTTCTGTTATTTCTCTCTCCTCTACGCAAATCTCAACCACACAGTTTTTACTTTATTATTCTCTGTGCCGGTCAACTTTGGCAAAGTTTTAAGGGACGGAGGTAGTATTATAGTTCATGATATTTCAGGTCTTAGATTCGTAGTTTCCAATCGTTCGGGTCTTATACCGACACATTTTATCTTTTAGGTCCCTTATATCGATAATAAACTGTCTTTCAGGTTTTGAATTTATAAAATTTCATTCTCATTTTATACACATTTAAAACCTATATCTGTTCATGACTCCGTTCCTCCTTTCTTCCATACTAGGCTATACCATCTTTTTTTGAGAACAACAAGAATTCTCCGATTATTACATTCTTCGTCATCATCGTTCCCAAATCCAACTTCATTAACATCAAAATAGCCAGTTTCACATCCCTGAATCTCTCTGGCGCAAATGAAGCCGCAGGTTCGACCCACGCTTCACAGGTATGTTTTTGGTATTCTGGTAATAAATTTCCAAATAATCTCCATATTTTTTCATACAATTTACTAATATTTTGGATTTCTTATTGCAATTGGCCTGCTTTCAGAAACTTGATTTTGGATACTATCTGAATTCTGAATACTTCATTTTCTCCTTTACATGTAATCTCTACCTTTATTTGAACTCTTACAGATTCAACTTATCTCTGTGGGTTGAACAAAAAGTTTAAATGAATGGTTAGGCACCTCTGTTTTTTGTTGAATCTTTAGAGGCATTGCATTCACTGATTGAAGCTCTTTGTTTGTTGGTTCTCTGTTTCAAATTGTTTTTTACTATCACTGCAAGTATACATTTTTAAGCATATAAGGTGTTTGATGAAATGCTGAAGTGAGTTTTGACTTTTACGCTCTTAATTTTAGTATAGTGATTATTATTAGTTGTAACCTGTGAGAGTCTGAGTAAGATATGTATCTACCTCCCCCTGTTTTCATTGGTTTATAACATATAGGTGATATCACTTGCTTGATTCATGAGTTTTCATAGTGCTAATGTGGCTGCCATGAAACTCCCTTTTAAGAGGCATTACATTTCATATTCTTTTTCTTTTTAGCCTATTGCCCTAATGTTCTCTTAGGTAGTAAATAGAAGTTTGAAAAATGAGTTACTTTAGGCATATAGGGAGTTATAGATCTTTGTAAATACCATCCAGCTCATGTCTTCTTAGAAACTCATGCTTTTTACTCTATATAAGAAAACGTATTACCATTACATTTATGCTCCTCCAATATATGTTCCTTTGGCACCTTTCTTATTGTCTTTTTCTCTTAGTACTGCCTTTTGTGCTCAAGAATCTTAACCCAATAAGACAAAGAAGTACTGATGCAACCATGACTTTTTTACTAATCTACTTTTATTTTTAATTTCCTGAAGGTTTTCATTGAATTGGTTGTGGTTGAAATGAGAGTAAGCTCTAAGTACTTCACAAGCTGCTATACGGTAAATAAAAGTCTAATGTTTATCTTCGTAAATTATTGTATACTTATGAATACATTATATGTTCCTCATAAGTTATACTCCTTCCGTTCCATTTAAAGGTTCTCGTCCACTATTCACATGGTCAACTTAAATCATTCTTAACCTTTTGCTTTATATATCAAATTTTTATGAAATTTACATATTTTTTATCAGCCTTTGTAGTGACTTTAATGTAGTTTCTGAATATGTAAATTTTGTTTTCTAAAAATAATCGGAGTGTGAACAGGGATCAAGTTGCTTTATCATCAGTCAAGCATCGTAAACTGAACCGGGAACCTCTATATGGGACGGAGGGAGTATCTTCTTAACCATTTTATCAAGCCCAATAAGTACATTTTCAATGTTTACAGAACACAAGTAAGTCCTGGATCTATCATAACACATTTAAAAAAAAATCCTATCTTTAAAGCAGTTTTTAAAGTAAGTTCCTATCTTTAAGGAAGGTTTTAAATTAAGTTGATTTTAAATGTTCGATGAAATGATTATATGATAAAACAAATATTAAGTTTTATAGTTCAGTTTTAGTTTCGATACAACTTAAATAATTTTTGGAGCCTCACAATGTTCTGATTTCGAGGAAGTATATATGTGACTCTTCTTAAACTTATATTCACTGTTGAGCCTTCTTTTGCTTCCTACTTATATGTACCCCTGATTATACTATACAAAGGGTACTCTCTGAGGACTCTTTTGGTCTTCTCTGCATATGCTACTTTTCATTCCTGATAATACCAATGAAATGAACTATTTTTAAGTCTGCACATAATTATTTGGCTAAAAACTACTCCCGAGCTGTTCTGCTGGTTTTTGTTCTGTACGAAAAACCTTTGCGGCACTGAGGCAATGATGATGATGATGATACGTGAAAAGTTATTATCAAGTTTTTGTTCTTATACAACCGTGATTTTAATTTTGTTTGAATGTAATATTCTGCATCCAGCCACTATCTATATTGTCACTCTTTATTTTTTGATGCATGGACAACTTAAATTATCAGCTGTTTCAAATTTCTTCTCTTTATTTTGATAGAATGCCAATTGCAAACTTTTTTTTACCTAAACTACTTTGTTTCTATATTCTGCAGATTTTTCTTAAAGTCTTTAGTCCTCTGACCAGGTAACTTTGGATTTTCTTTTCGACTAAATATTGTTTGGGTTCATGGGAGCCATTCTCTTTGTATTTGTGTTTACACTTCTTAAGATGTCTTTTATTATTGAATTCTGAGCTCTATACTTGGGTGAAGGATAGAAAGGTTAAGTGGGGAAGCTTTAGTTTCTTATACTTCCTCCGTACCGAATTGAATTGCAAACTTTGACCGGCACAAGGATTAAAGAATGACAATAAATGATGCTTGCTTTTTACACTTTTGCCCATCTTTCTAAAAGTAGATGCCTTTAAGTTAATGGGAAAAAAGTAAAAGTAAGGGTAAATTTGTCACTTTATTCTTATTTAGATACCTAAAATAGAAAGTGGAAAACCATTTTTGGACAACCAAAATAGGAAATTTTGCAAATCAAATTGGGAAGGAGGGAGTAAGAAATTGCTCCAAATATGAGTAAAACGTAGAGAAGGGGCATAACTAGGATCAGTCCTATTTTATTTTTAAAATAGGACTCATTATGTTCTATGAAAAGCATAAAAATTCCTCAATTAGGAGTGGATGAGTCCTATCTTCGAAAGATCAATAACGGTCCTATTTATACACTTCATCTATGTTTTACTCTTATTTAAGGATTTTTCTCTTTTTTTATATAGTAATAGATGAAGGTTCTTCTCCTCCATTTTTTCGTTACTATGCGTTCACCTCCCTTCTTTTTTTTTCCTTTTTTTTCTATGTGTAAATGTCTGCGCTCTTTTCGCACCTCCCTCTTCATACGCGTTACTGTTTTACGCTAAATTCAGCACCGTTCGCGCCGTGATCTTCCTCACTTGATTCACATAATGTAAAGTCAATATCTTTCCAACATTTTCTCACGATTTGTGTAACCTCTCTGAATCCAAACCTTCTCCCTAAAACACGCACTTCCAAAACATTATAGTAGCGGTGCCCCTAAATTTGACAAAGCGATAAGCGATGCAAATTTCTTTGAGAAAGTCTTCTCTTAAGGTAAATCTCTATGTAATGTGTTCCCATTCTGAGTATTTTAAGTATCACTCTTTATCATCCACTGAAAATTGAGATTCTCAGTTCCGGTTAAATGTAGCTTTTTACACCACACCGGTTTTTTCACGTCCAATATCGTGTTCTTATATTTTTTCATATCTCATGTTTGATGAAATGCAAAGGTGATATTTGCTCCTCAATGTTGTCCACTTTAATCATTTATTACATTACTACAAGGACTACATTGAATAGTTTGTAGTTCTCTTCTACTTTTACGTTAAGAATACGTATAAAGCATATAAGATGTTCGATGAAATGTTTATATGAAAAAAGCATAATAGCTTTTATAGTTCAGCTTATCAGTTTTAGTTTTTTTGCTCATTTCATCACCTTTCTTCGCATTTACTATTTTTTGATGAATTTATTTATTTGTTTTTACATGACTTTTAGGTGCACAAAGCATATAAGCTAAAGCATATACAGTGTTCAACTTTTCTGGAATTGATAATGTCCGTCTTACAACTTCTAAATCGGGAAAATAATAATTGCATCTTTCTAAATAATTATCAAAAGAATTTTGATTTTTAAACGGTGTCCTTCTATAACTTTATAAAACAAGCTTGATCATAGAGAACTACTATTTAAGGCTTTCAGATGTTTGTCTATTTGAGGTGAATTTATTAATTTTAATGTTAAATGCTTCAATAGAGAGTGTGTGTATACACCATGCTTACGTATTTTAGATTGAAAATAAACAAGCTTGATCATAGAGAACTACTATTTAAGGCTTTCATATGTTTGTCTATTTGAGTGTGTGTATCTCACTGTGACCTTATTTTAGTTTAAAACAATCATTATTTTAGATTCCAAACAGCTTTAATAAAATGTGAGGATTGGTATGTGTGTGTATACACCATGCTTACTTTGGGTGTTTCATCAGTATGTTCCCCTGGACAATTTTATAAAGGTGTACTTTTTACCCTTCCATGTTTAATTTACAGTTTTTCATTTCTTATTTTAGATTGAAAATAAACAAGCTTGATCTTAGAGAACTACTATTTAAGGCTTTCATATGTTTGTCTATTTGAGTGTGTGTATCTCACTGTGAACTTATTTTAGATTAAAAAAATCATTATTTTAGATTCCAAACGGCTTTAATAAAATGTGAGGATTGGTATGTGTGTGTATACACCATGCTTACTTTGGGTGTTTCATCAGTATGTTCCCCTGGATAATTTTATAAAGGTGTACTTTTTTATCCTTCCATGTTTAATTTACAGTTTTTCATTTCTTGAAAATACCATATTACTAAGTTGAAACTTTTTTGTTTTCTACATTAACATTCACTGTTTTTTTGGCTAGCTGCTTTTTTCATCGTCCCTTTTTCATATGCTCCACTGTTTTATCCGGCTAAATGATTTTGGTTTTTACATTGCATCTTTTGCTATTAAACACTTAAAGGCTCGGTTTTGTATATGAGTAAATATGACTATAACATCCAATAATCTAAGTTTGTTTGGACACATCTTTAATATATACCTTCATGTCCCAACACATATGTCACCTTTGCTCTTTGTCTTCTAATAATTTCTTCCACCATAAATGTAATAGTAATAATCCCAGTCTCTTGACATTGCAATCTAAAATAAATATTTTTTAAATTGTCCATCCCTAATCCTTAGTAATACTCAAAACTCAGAAAATAGGTAATCTTTCTTTTAACATACACTACATTTGTGCATATCTGAAAATGAGTGGGCTTTAGTTTCTGAATATTTAAACCAAACTGAGCACACCTTTAGTGTTTGAATAATAATAATACATGTGTGACACCTAAATTATTTTTTCACACACACCATGTTTGATCAAATGCTTAGATTAGACCCGTCCCCGGTTCGGAACCGAACCGAACCGGAACCGAACCGCCGGTTCACGGTTCCAAATTTTAGGGAACCGGAACCGCACAGTACCCGTTCTAAAACCGGCGGTTCCGGTTCCGTTTCCGGTTCCGCTTTTTATTTTTTTTTATTTTTTCTAAATATTAAAGTATAGTATATTTAGATAAATTAATAAAAGAGTTACCAAAAAATTACAAGAATAAATATATCTCATTGTTAAAATTAAGTACAAAAATAAGATAGTTAATAGCTACATAGTTATAAACTAGATTGTAAAATCTTTTAATCTATTATTCTAAAATAAGTTAATTAGTAATAAATAATTGATATTTATTACTAATAATTTTAATAAAATATAGATTAACTAGTATAGTAATAATTAAGGAGTAGTAACTAGTAACTCTTATAATGTTATTTCTATTATTAATACAATTAATGCTAATAGTATTATAAGATTTAGCATTATTAATATTAATAATAATAATATAATTAAATAATTAATTCAAAAAAGAGGGTCCAAACCGGAGCTGTCCGGTTCTGAACCGGAACCGCTGGTTCCGGTTCCACATTTTTGGGGAAACCGAACCGGTCTAGTAAACCTTCGGCTCCGAACCGAAGTACTATGCGGTTCCGGTTAAGGTTCCGGTTCCGGTTTAACCGGAAACCGCGGATAGGTCTAGTTTAGATGAATAGCGCATAGAAGGTATTATGGCTTGCTAAACCTTTACATCTCGTAATGGTTACTGCTGATTTTTCTTTTTGAATCGTGGTTAGGAAGGCTTCTGCGGACGATGTTCACCAAGAGCATTTCACTATATTCGTGTTTCATATTTGAAAATTTCAAAACACTATCGTGTATATGCTTAAGTCAATTGTAATAAACCTCACTTTAAATATCTCTAACTGGTTTTCTATAGTTCATTCAAATTACTCAATTGAAGAAACTATGTTAACTACCATGACAATAACATTGCATCTATATATAGTTCCTATTTTTTAAATTTTAGAACCTCCAATGGAGTAATTTCCTTTTTTTGGATCAACTATGATAAGTAATAACAATTTTGAAATCGACTTTCAATTTCTTCAGCATTTAGTTCTACTTTTTTCTTTTTAGATATTTAAATGATTTGAAAGTAGATTCTTCATTTTTTTGATCCTTTGTACTTAAGATATGGTTCAATTATCATTAAATCTTCACATTTGATTTATATAATAATGTTTATTGTAGTCATTCATGTTTTTTTCTGACATTGAAAGGGTCAATTTTATAAACCCAAAAAGACTAATTTATTACTCTGTACAAATTATAATTCATAGACCAACAATCACCTGTGCGGATGCACGGGTACTATACCAGTTTTAATGAAAATGAAGGGCATGTTGCATGCTGCAACAGGCCTTGATATATAGCTTATTTGAATTCTTGACTACTCCACATGAGAAAGCAGGTGCTATCTCAAACATGTGTGTATGTGTTTGCGTATCAATTGTGACAATTTTATATAGGGATATTACAGATGAATCCTTCAAAGTTATGATTCATTTCTATTTGATGATATTATGAAAGTTGTAATAATATAATTTTTAGCTTGGTGTTTAAGATATTTCGATTCTGTTTTATCATGGTATATCTTTGCACCGATTAACAATTTGCTACTACTGTGCTACATGAAAATACTTGAATGACATCCCAGTCTTTTACAGGTCTTGTAGTAATTTCAGCAAGGCTCCTGACGATGGCCAAGTACAGGTCTTTGCCTCACTGGTCACTCCAGCCCCTGCTGTTCTTTTCCCGCAAAGTACCCTTCTCCACTTCCCCTTTATCCATAGAACATCCGCCCATATCTGCTGCTACTACTCAAGCATTCCCACATGAAATAAAAGCCACATGCTTTTCAGAGTTAGAGCAGCTAATTAGACGCGGATTAATAAATCCAGCAGAGAAGCTCGTTCAGAAGATAGTGAGACATTCATCATCAGTCCCTGAAGCCGTTTCTGCAGTTGATTTTGCCCTTTCCAGGGGAGTGGAGCTTGACATGAAGAGTTATGGTTTTCTTATCAGAAAGCTATTGACTTGTGACGAGGCAAAGATGGCAGAGGCCGTTTATGTCGACTTCATATTGAACAGAGGAATTGAGCCAGACCATTTTTTATTGAACTCGATGGTTGTTTGCTATTCTAAGTTAGGTAAGTTGGAAGAATCCAAGTCTCAATTCGATAGACTTCTTAAGATGGAAGTCATGCCTTGTCGAGCCGCCTGCAGTGACATTATTACTGCATTTTGTGCCCAAAACAGATTCTTGGAGGGATTTGATGTGTTTCTAGCTGTCCATGATGCTGAATTTTTACTGCATTACCGGTGCTACAATAGGTTGGTCGACGGGTTGAGCTCAATAGGGAACTTAAACGAGGCACTATACGTGTATGACATAATGTGTGATAAAAGTGTGCCTCCCACTATTCATTTACTCAAAACATTAGTTTTTATGCTTTGCCGGAATGAGCGGGTTGAGGAGGCTGAATTTTTGAGTATGGAAACCGAATCTTTTGGCTTCTTTATTGATAAAGTCATGTACACAGCTCTTATCAATGGGTATTGCCGGAAAGGAAGAATGAAGATGGCTCTCAGATTGTTTTACAGAATGCTGAAACTAGGATGTCATCCAGATAACTACACATGCAATACATTGATACATGGTTTTGTTAAGACAGGCATGATTGATAAAATTTTCGTGTTGTTTCACCAGATGAAAGAGCTGGGATTGAAGCTCAACGTTGTCAGTTACCAAATCATGATTAGCAAGTGTTGCAAGGATCTTAAAGTTGATTGTGCATTGACATTGTTACATAATATGATGCAGTGCAACTTAGCACCCACGGTACACTGTTACACGCCTTTACTTGCTGCACTGGTCAAGGAAAATCGGTTAGCAGAAGCTGATCAATATTATAACCAGCTGTTTGATTCTGGACTTTTTCCTGATGATGTCCTCTTTTTTACAGTAGCAAAAAACTGTGTAGGGCATGAAATTGATCTTGCACATAATTTTGTGACAGAAATCGGAAGACATGGGTGTGACATTTCTAGCACCACTTATAGTAGTAGCAGTAGTAAATCTGTTGATGACATCATACTTGAGATTGATATGCTCCTAGAAGAAATTTATTCACGAAACTCAGGCTTAGCTCGTGTTGCTTTTAATATACACATAATTGCAATGTGCTATGCAGGGAAACTTGATGCTGCTGAGTTATGCATGGATAAAATGTCAACTCTATCTCTTCAGCCTTCTCTCCTAGCATATAACTCCATGATTTGGTGTCTCTGCCAAATGGGACTAGGAAATGATGTTATTTCCATTCTGGATCAGCTGGAAGCTACTAGAGTGAAGCCCACTGTTGCTATGTATGACTCTATTATAGGGTGTTTGGCTCGAGAAAAGAGAGTGTTGGAGGCATCACAGTTGTTTGACAGGATGCATGAGGTTGGACTTTTCCCTGATGAAACTGTGTATGTGACAATGATTAGTGGTCTATCAAAGAACAGACAAGCAGGTGCAGCTCGTGAGCTCTTTGACAAAATGTTGAAGTATGGTATTCGACCAAGCTACCGAGCTTACACTGCACTAATAAATGGGCTTGTTAAGCAAAACATGATACAAGAGGGGCACATATATCTCAGTAGAATGTTAGAAGAGGGATTTATGCCTAATGCTGCTTTGTATACTTCCCTAATCTACCAATATTTTAGAAAGGGAGAAATTAGATGTGCTCTTAAGTTAGTTGTTCTGATGGAGAAAAGCCACATAAAGAAAGATGTGGTAACTCATGTTGCATTGGTCAGTGGTGTTTGCAGAAATATCCGATACATTAGTAGGAAATGTCACAAGTCACAAAGACAATCTGTTAAGGCAATGGAGATGCTTTACCATTTACTATGTGAGTATACTAATTTGCCCGGCCAGAAAGATTTAGAAAACTTTATCATTTCAAGGGTTGGAATAAAAGCCTTTGCACTAAAATTGATAGGTGAAGTGAAAAAAGGCAACTTTATTCCCAACTTATATCTGCACAATAGTGTGATTGCTGGATTATGTTGGGCAAATGACATGGAAGGTGCATACAATCATCTTGATGTGATGCAGAAAGAAGGGCTGCTTCCCAATCATGTGACTCTTACCATTCTCATTGATGGGCATTTTCGGAAAGGTAAAACCGATCTTGCTGTTAATCTTTTCAATAAAATGAATGAGCATGACTATGTTCTTGATGATGTGGTATACAACATGTTGATAAAGGGGTTTTGTAAGGCTGGAAGACCCCGTGATGCATTATCTGTATCAAATATTATGCTTAAGAAAGGGCATTCTCTTTCAAAGGCTTCCTATGAAAATCTACTCCAACTTTTTTGTGCAAATAGATGGACGGTCCATGCTCTGAAAATACTTGAAGATATGGTTTCCTGTGAATATACCCCTTGCAGAGGCAGTCTTAACTGGTTGTTGTGGATATTATGTGAAGAAAATAAATTCATTGAAGCTTGCAATGTTCGAACTTTGAAGTCCAGGATAAGAGTATTGTCAAAGAAAGCATCTAAGGGACTCTTCATTTAGTATGCATCACTGCCACCAAGAGACTATTCAGCTTTATTTGGGATTTGTCAGGGATTATGATGTTATCCTTCTGGGACTGGAGATTGCAAGTCGGGGAGGAGCAGATAGAGATGCTACAGGGGTTGAGAAGGGGAAAATTGAAGAATATGGAGTTTGTGATAAGAGTATGAGCGTGTACCCTCCTTGCTTTAGGCAGTGTGGAGGCTCTGTCCAAGTCAAATTCATTAGCCGGAGAAGGGAAAGGGATTGGATTGTGTGGACCAAGGACCGAAGGCCATACATTTGGACTTCTTATGTGACAAAAAATTCGAGGTGATGAACTTCATTGTGCAATCAAATCTGATCTTTTCAGTTTCTTGATTTTACCAGTTCTCTTATGGTTGGTTCCATCTCAGTAACCCCATTATTTTGTGTTCATGGAAAGCTATATTTTTGGGCTTTGTTATTAAATTGATTTGCCTCTTGTTTAAATCATGCATCTAGCATTCTACCATAAAACGAGGTAGGTCTATGTATTATTAGCTCACCCTTGCATAGAATCAGATTGTTTTAGTTAAGCTCTCAGCTGTCCCATAACAATCTTACATTTTCTATGCTTTGTCTTTGAGCAGCTGGGACACAGATGAGCTGTATGTGGCATTCATGAGATTGTTACCATGATATTGCAAATGAAATTCTGATCCATCTACAGAGGTTGCAGTATGTGGCGTTCATGACATTGTTGGGTAAATCAACAAAGTGTAGTTTCATTATTTTTCTGTTTGCATAGAATATGTGCATTGATTTTTTTTCTTTTTTGACAAGAAAAAATGGATGAAGATTATAATATCTTATCTTACAAAAAACTCTCATATTACAAAAAATCCTCTCTAAGATAGTATTCTCTATATAACTGATTTCCTCTGCCCACCCCTCAAGTTCTCCAAAACCCTCCATCCAGATTACAAACACAGTACTCTCCAGCGCAAATTCAAAGCAGCACCTTACAGATTGATAAGTACGAGCTAATTGCTACAGTAATTCCGAGCTCACAGAAGGCAAAAATGGCGAAGAGAATCAATAGAGGAAGTTTATTGTTTAATGGAAAGAGAAAATACAGTTCCCAGGTCGTTACACAGTTCCGACTCCCAATCCCAACTAACTGGATAGTTCCAACCTGTCTCCACTCACATACACAACCCTTATTTATACTAATGTTTACCCTAACCTCTTATTACACAGTCAGCAGCTATGTACTAGTTCCCTTCCTCCTAGTGTACACTTTGTTAAAATAGGTAACACTATTATTATTATTATTCCTTTGCTCCCCTTGCTCCCTATCATCACTCCCCTCTGGAACTACCACCTTGTCCCCAAGGTGGAAGTCAGGAAGTTGTTTCTGAAATTGATGGAGCTCTTCCTAGGAGTTTTCAAAGTCTGAAGCTGCCTCCATTGCACCAGGATCTCCTTTCTTCCATCAGCATTGAATCTACTGTCTAACACCTTCTCTGGAGTGACCTGCAGTTCCCATTCTTCAGTGATGCATTTTGGCAAGGGTTGAGATGGAGTCTTGTGTGAGAGAGTCTTCTTTAATAGTGATAAATGAAAAACAGGGTGGACTGCACATCCCTCTGGCAACTTCAGTTTGTAAGCAACTGGGTTCACCTTGTCAATTATTTGAAAAGGGCCATAATATCTAGGGCTGAGCTTCTGATTAATTCTCTTAGCTAAGCTTCTTAGGGGGGTTTCCTCAATATGGATTCTTAAGGATTTTAAAGGAATTTAGAATCCCATTGAAATTTGGGTGTCCTCAATTAGGATTTGTATGGAGTCTACGGAAATTCTGCTGTCCTCAACCTGTCCATGGATTCTTTAACTCTTGAATTGTTAAGGATTTACGTGGATTTCAAAGCTAAAATACAAAGGGTAGAATACCGCTGAAAATCGCAGGTGCACCCTCGGATTTGAATGGATTTTCCGTCTTGAAGCAAAACAAAGCTAAAAGCAGAGCTCGGCTAATCCGTCGTTCTTCAATCTGTCTTCCGAATCAACTATCTCTCTCCACCAGAAAATGGTGGTTAAGAAGTTCTCTGTTGGGCACCTTGGATCCACCTTCGACGTCTCTGTCCCTCCAATCTAGTTTGCCCTCCTTCAAAGCCCTCTCTTATAGATCCATCTTCTATCTTTTAATTTCTTTTCATACGTGGGTGAATCCAACTCAAAAGTCCAAACTCAATTCCCTAAACAATTAAAATCAAATAAAGATAGCTGAGTTCTAGGATGGAGAAGCTGGGGCTTCGTGGTGGCACGAGTCTGAGGCAGATCAAAGGTGGATGCTGAGAATTGGAGGTGGATTTCAAGTTCCATGGAATTTGATTAGAATCTTACGTATTCTATACAATTTCATATAAATCCATCAAAATCTTAATCCTTTAAAATCTTATGGATTCCTAATTGAGGACACCCCCCTTAGCTTGTAGGGCTGAATTTTCAGATATACCCAATCCCCTATATTCAATTGAACATCCCTTCTCTTTTTATCAGCCTGTTGCTTCATCTGGTTCTGTGCAACTGCCAAAGAATTTTTCAATTCTTCCAGTATTTCATTTCTTTCAGATGTCATCCTTGTAACCTCATCAATAGCTGTCATAGCAGCATCTCCTTTTATCAGCACAGGAGGGTCCTGACCGTAGAGGGCTTTATAGGGAGTATTCTTGAGATATACATGATAATTAGTATTGTACCAGAATTCAGCCCATGCTAACCATTTAGGCCAACACTTTGGTTTGTGACCTGTCATGCATCTAAGGTATGTTTCCACGCATCTGTTCACCACTTCCGTTTGTCCATCTGTTTGTGGATGATAGGCTGTGCTATATCTCAAGTGTGTTATAGCCATCCTGAATATTTCTGTCCAAAACAAACTGAGGAATATACTATCCCTGTCAGACACAATCGTTTTGGGAAACCCATGTAATCTGACTATTTCCTGAATAAAAACTTCTGCTACTCCTTTGGCATTGTAAGGATGCGTTAAAGCAATGAAATGGGCAAACTTGGTTAGTCTATCAACAATCAACAACTACCAAAATAGTGTCCTTTCCTTGAGCTTTAGGTAATCCTCCTATAAAATCCATAGAAATATCAGTCCAAATCTGTTGAGGAATGGGTAGAGGTTGCATGAGTCCCACAGGACTTAATGTTTGATATTTGTTTCTCTGACACACATCACACTGCTGCACATAGTTTTTAATATCTGTTCTCATCCCTACCCAGTAGAACAAGGCTGATATCCTCTTCATGATTTTAAAGTTACCTGCATGTCCTCCTACAGCAGATTCGTGGAATTCCTTTAAGATGGTAGCAATTCTAGCTGACTGTCTGGGAATCACCAGTCTGCCCTTGTAATAGAGAATCCCTTTTCTTAGTTTAAAATCAGAAACTGATTCAGGCTGTCCCATCAATTGTTTCAGAATATCTTGATATTTTTCATCTTCCAAAAGCTCATCCCCTAAGTTCTCCCACTCCTGGCAGGCTATCACTGACAGAGAGTATAAACCACCCTTTCTTGATAGAGCATCAGCTGCTTTGTTCTCTATTCCAGGTTTATACTTTATAGTGAAATTGAAACCCAGTAATTTAGCTACCCATTTCTGTTGCTCTTCCCCTAGAATTCTCTGTTCAGCCAAGAATCTCAAGCTCTTTTGATCGGTATGCACTTCAAAATGTCTTCCTAGCAAATAAGGCCTCCATTTCTGTATGGCTAGTACAATTGCCATTAGCTCTCGCTCATAAACCGATTTATTTTGGTTTCTAATGGACAGGGTTTCACTCATATAGGCTATGGGTCTCCCTTCCTGCATAAGCACAGCCCCAATACCCTTTCCTGAAGCATCCGCTTCAATTATAAACACTTTATTGAAATCTGGGATTTGTAAAACTGGCAGATGTGTCATAGCTTGCTTCAATTCTTCAAAAGCATCCCTAGCTTCTTGATTCCACTAAAATCCATCTTTCTTTAACATATTGTTGAGTCGGGATGCTATTTTACTGTACCCCTTAACAAATCTTCTGTAGTACCCTGTGAGTCCTAGGAACCCCCTTAATCCCTTCACATCTGTAAGCAACTTCCAGTCCAACATGTCTTCTATCTTGCTGGGATCTGCTGCCACACCCTCTCTTGAGATGATATGGCCCAAATATGTCAACTGTTTCTGCCCAAAAGAACACTTCTTCTGATTAGCTACCGAACTGTTTTCTTTTAGTAATTGTAAAACTTTCTGAATGTGTTCTTTATGATCTGCTTCATTCTGGCTGTAGATTAAGATATCATCAAAGAAAACTAGCACAAACTTTCTGAGGTAGTGCCTGAAAAGTTGAAGGGGCATTGGTTAGCCCAAAAGGCATAACCAGATATTCATAATGCCTTTCGTGAGTTCTAAAGGCAGTTTTATGAATATCTGTCTCCTTTATTCTTATTTGATGATACCCAGATTTGAGGTCATGTTTTGAAAAAATCTGGGCATTACTAAGTTCATCCAGCAGTTCTTCAATGACAGGTATCGGGAACTTATCTGGTACCGTTATTTTGTTGAGTGCTCGATAATCACCACATAATCTCCACCCTCCGTCTTTCTTTTTAACCATGAGAATGGGGCTGCTATAAGGACTGGTACTATGCCTGATGATGCCAGACTTCAGCAACTCTTGTACAACTTTCTCAATCTCATCTTTTGGTATTGAGGTACCTATATGGTCTGGTATTTGGGATGGCAGCGCCCTCTTTTATGGTAATAGCATGATCACAATCCCTCTGGGGAGCTAGACCACTGGGAGGTTGGAATACTTCAGGAAACTCACCCATAATCTCCTTGACCCAATCCAATTCCAAACCTGTTTCAGCTTTATCCTCCTTGATTTCAGTTCCCACTACACAATATGTTAGAGACTCTACTAATTCGGAAATAGAAGATAGATATTTTGGCAAAGTATATTCTAGAAGAAAGTAGAGTTAGTTATTAGTTAAAGGCATTGTTAGCTAATAACTGTCTTCAGTTGTATTAGTTACTTACTTTCTATAAATAGTAGCTAGCTGGAATGGGTGAGTAGGCTGTTTTAGACTTGTCTTGGGACTTGGGAAGACTGAGACTAATAAGTCTCTTTCTTTGGGAGCTTCGGCTTTTGGGGGCTTCGGCCAGTATATTGTTTTACCGTTAATAAAGATTCTGGAGTTCTTGATACTATTTCCTTACTTTCTCTTTGATATTTGCTGGGATTTCTGGAGGATTCTATCATTGGTATCAGAGAAAACGATCTTGTTACCTGTAGTCCTGTACAGGAACGATGGAAGATTGGGGGCTGTTTTGGGAAAAAATGCGTGAAGATACCAGGCGTTTGTGCGAAAGGATACGCAAAATAAGCCCGCAAAGAAACAATAGGCACTCGCAGAAAGAGTCGCGAACTAATTCGCACTCGCAGGAGTTGCAGAAAGAGTCGCGAATTGTTTCGCACTCGCTAAAGGATCCGCGCGGAAAATTGGGGAAACTCGCTGAAACGATGGAGCACGGAAATATGGAGAAGGAGAAGAGCTTAAAATCGGAGAGAGAAAAACACCCAAAACAGGAGAAGGAGAAACGCTCAAATCTGGAGAAGGAGAAGAGTTCTAAACCGGAGAAAGAGAAACGCTCAAGCCTGGAGAAAGAGAAGAGTTTTAAACCTGAGAAAGAGAAACGCTACAGTCGGGATA